GGACCAGAAAGTTCCTTTGTCCCAAATTACCTCTACCCCTTGCCTATCATATGCCTAAACTCTGCCTGTGTGTGTGTATTTATTTAATACAGACCACCATCCTCTCTCCTAGGAGATCTACATTAAGTCATTATCATCTGTTAACACTTCAGAGTGAAACTATTTATAGGATTACTTTTCATTTCCATACCAAGTGTGAAAAGATCAATGAGGAAATGTAAGTTTTGAAGGGGATAAAGTAAAGGTAATTCTAATCAGAGGGAAGGCAGACCTGGACAGATTACCCTGGTTGGTGACACTGGGCAAGAAAGGCATAAATAAGGGCCTGTGGAATTGAGTACAGAAATGCACAGAGAGGGGAGCAAGAAGGAATCAAAAATAAGTTGGCCATGAAAGCAAACTTTATTCACTGTGATGGTTAAATTTATTCATCAACTTGGCTCAGCCACTGTGCCCAGATATTGGTCCAACATTATTCTGGGTGTGTCTGTGAAGGGACTTTTTAATGAGATTAAGCATTTAAACTTGTGGACTTTGAGTAAAGCATGGTGCTTTCCATAGTATGGATGGGCCTGAACAGAAAAAAAAGACTGACCTCTGCAAATCTAGAAGGAACTCACCAGAACTGGACTTGGACTGAAACATCAGCTCTTCCCTGTGTCTACAGCCTGATGTCCTGCCCTGCAGATTTTGGATTTGCTAGCCTCCCTGATTGCATCAGTGAATCCCTTAAAATAAATCTGTCTCTCTTTCTTGTGCACACACTATACACACACACACACACATATATATAATGTATGATATATACATACTAGTTCTCTCAAGATCAACATATATCCACCAATGTTGATCTTACTGATTTTCTCAATATTGAATGTTTTAAATTTCTAGAGGATAGATGTTTTCAATAACAAATAATAGAAAAATATCGATTCAAACTAGATGAAACAGGAGAATTTATTGGCTAATATAACTGGAAAGGACAGGGATACAAACAGCTTCAGGCACATCTATGTCCAGGGACACAAATATTGCCAGAACTCTGATTCTCTCTTTCTGACCCCATAAACAAGGGATGACCCTCAAACTGCTTTGGAATCATATCTTTATAACTCACAGTCCAAGCAGAGAAAGGCTATTCCTCCGCCCTCACCTTTTTACATTCTAGGCAAAGATTTGGATCAGACCTACTCGAGTCACATGCCCACTCCTATAACAGAGAGAGCAGGACACTAGTTGGACAGTTCCACCAGAGCCATATCAGCAAGAGGTAGTTCAAGGGAAAGGGAAAGGTGTTAAAGAATGACTAAAGGCCCTGGCTGGTGTGGCTCAGTGGATTGAGCGCCAGCCTGTGAACCAAAGGGTGTTGAGTTCGACTCATCAGGGCACAGGCCTGGGTTGCGACACAGGTCCCCAGTGGGGGCATGTAAGTGGCAACCACACACTAACGTTTCTCTTTGATTCTTCCCCCTCTGTAAAAATAAATAAAAAGCCAACTATTTTAAAAAAGAATGACTAAAGGACATCAAGAAGACACAAAAAGATGCTCACCAGGAAAGCTCAGACTTCAGAACCAAGGATACTGATTCCAATATACTCCAATACTCCTCCCTAGGATGACTTTAAATTTACCTGGTAGGCAGAAACAGGCATAGTTTTCTAGAAACTCATTCTCCTGCCAAGAAATTGTCAACAAACTGAACACCATGAGATCAATTAGTCCAGTCTACTACTTCTGTCTGGTAGAATGCAATGAGGGCCACAAGAGAGGTGGATCATTCTGGGAGATGCACACAGCTGAAAGATTACTAGAACAAGGACAACAGTGTGATGATTGTAGCAGGGAGCACATACACGGGGGTTAAATAGTAATGGGAAAAATACAATAAAAATTGTTTTTAAAAGGATCACTAAAAATATAACATGACAGAAAAGGCATTTTTCTAGATTTCTTTCAGGGGTTATAAAGGTCACCCTGTGGAGTTATTGTAGATATGTGTAAGGAGTATAAGGCTGGGATTTCCTAAAGGGATGTCAATTCCCACTGGACTGGAGGGCAGCTAGCTTCAGATTGTTGTATAAAAATACACACATGCAATGCACTGCTCTGGCCCATTATGGTCTGGAGCAAGTAAAAGGTGGAAAAGACTGTCCATCAGAATGCAGCACCGACAAAAACAAGAAATGCTCCTCTCCCCCCTCAGGTGGGAGAAATATGTAGGCCCAACTCCCTTTGGGCAAGTAGTACAATAGTGATGGGCACAGACTCCACAGCCTGATGCCAGGGGTCTTTCCATGTGAGTTATGTGGCAATGGAATATATACTTCTCTCTGTGCCTGATAGGGAACAGTAAGTTACTGATCTCATAGGCTTAAATGACTTCATAAATGTAAGGTGCTTAGAAATGTTTGTCACATAGTCCATATTCAAGGAAAGTTTGCTACTTTTATGTATTTTGCTCCTTACTGAAAACTCTCCAAGTGTTTGGCTTATTCTTGCCTAATAATCTTAATTTCAAGTATTTATTGAAATGTTCCATAGTTTTCAAGAATACTACATGTAAAAGGATTGTATATATTCTGGGGGATTAATTTTTATTTTCTAAATTTTGTTTTAAACACAACAGTGAGTAATTCTTTGGGACCTTATAGGAAGAAATTAAGTATAATTTAAACATTCAAAAAGAAAGACCTGATTAAACTACACTTTCTAATTTTTGATTGGAAAATGGTTCAATTAATTTTAAAATGTTAGTTTTCATTTTAAGATCTACATTTGGCACTGTCTGCCACAAATTAAAAAAAACCAATAAAATTTTATTTTACCAGGACTTATTAGCAAGTCCTCCATGATTTACCAGGCTCTTTGTCTTTTAGAAAACAATCAAGCTTCATATCTGACAACAGAAGCTATTAACAAAAAATATATATATATTTTTTTTTATTTCACATGACTCTGAAAATGGATGGTTACAGGTCTGGTTCAAAGGTCAATAATGTCCTCAAGGATCCAGGCCTTTTTTCCCCTTCCCTTTGTCATTCTCAGTGGACTGTCACAGTTTTAGACATCAAGTTTGCATACTTACAGTGTACAAAGCAGGAAGAAAAGGAATGGGTAGTAAAAGAGCCTTCGTTAAGTAGATTAATGTTCTCTCAATCAGGGGGAAAAATATCTTTCCAAAGCTTACCAACAGACTTTCTTTTATAACTCATTGGCCAGAGCTGGGCCGTATATCCATTCACAGACTGATGACTGTCAAGGAGAAAAAGGACTTTAAATGACTGGTTCAGACTAGTTGTAATTTATTCCCTGGGACTGGGGTGGGACCTACCTTGCCTGGCACATCACAACCAAATGATAATTAAGAGGGACTCTTTCAGTAAGCAGCAGGGATGTACATTGGAAAGGCAACCAAGAGTTTCTCTAGCACTCTTTAGGGTCTCTGCCTACTTCTGCACCATTTCCAATTAAGCACTTCTACTTTACACTCAAGCCATTCTTAGCTTCCTGCATTTCCCAGCTTACAGATTCTGATTACACTGCTGTGTATGTTTGGAATGTTCTCCCCCACCTTTCCTCCTTGTTCTTAATGACTCATCCCTTTCATAGAAAATTTCATACTTTGACCTCTCAGTTCCATCATTTCCTCCTCTTCCAACAACCTAGTCCACCACTCACTTCAGCTACTTATTACATGGCCATACCAGACTTGTCATTAACTGCATCTCCTCCACAATATCAATTTCCTATAGCTTCAGCTAAAGGGCAGGTTAATGTCCGTAGCTTACAAAGCAATTCCCAGAGTCTAAGCTGAATTCATCTATAATAACTCACGAAACAAGTTCTCCAACTCCACTATCTGGTTCTGTGAAACAAAAGACAAATAATTACAACTTCAGTTCCTGGCATTCACAACTGCTAGAGTTCTGCATATTTTTTTCATTCCTTTTTAAAATTTTATTTACTTACAGCAAAACAAATGAGCAAAATAGAACCAGAGACATGGAAATAACAAACTGACAGTGATCACAGGACGGAGGGAGAGAAGGATGGGGGACGGGGGGACAAGGGAAAGAGTCAGGGAACATGTATAAAGGACCCATGGACAAAACAAGGTGGGGGATTGAATGTGCGAGGTGGGTATGGCAGGGAAAAGTGAAAGGGGAAAAACAGGGACAACTGTAATTCAATAATAAAAAAACAAAAAATTTATAAATATAGGAATGAAAAAACATTTATTTATTTTTAGAGAGAAGGGGAGAAGGAAACATTGATGAGCAAGAAAAACGTCAGTTGCCTCTCATATGCTCCCAACCAGGGACTTGTCTCCCCACCCAGGCACGTGCCTTGGCCAGGAATTAAACCTGCCACCTTTCAGTTTGCAGTATGATACCCGACCCACGGAGCCACACTAGTCAGGGCCCCATCCCTATCTTAATCTCTCTTCTTTTAGGGACCAGAATTCTAGAGATGCAATGTACTCATCTTTCTGTCCCTGATAGTGTCTGTGAACTGTCATCTCTGAATCTCTGTAGAAAAACAGGAGAGGATAATTTGCTGTCTGTGCTGTTTAAAAAGCAGTGCCCTACAGTAGGAAGATAACTGTCCAAATTTCTGGCATGTCACAGATTACAGATCTGAGTCAGAAGAAACCAGCAGGAGGACCAAAGCAGCTTCTCATATTTTTTTCAAAAAGATCATGTTTCGAAAGATAAAGCCTGAGCATGCTAAGGCAGTTTTTTTCTCATTTCAGCCTACACTGTCTTATAATTAATGGAATTTTTTCTCCATTCTGTCACCTGTTTTTTTTTATTAGTTTTCAGCATTATGATTTTTTGTGGGGGGGCAGTCTCTTAGGGAGAAATTACATGTTACTACACTGAGGACTGATAACTAGATATCATTTTTCAACTAGAATTGTTTAGTTTTTTTTAACAAGATAAAAATTCAGTAAAAATAGTTTCAAACATCTCATGAAAAGCGAAGCCATTTTAGAATATTTTTAAAAACCATTCTCTATTTATTTCTGCATTTAAAAAGTAAATAAATTAGATAAGGAAAAATGTATTTTAAACTGCTTTACACATTATGCAAAGAATTAACAATGAGAAATGAAGACTAAAAATAAAAATATCCCTGGATAAAATGCACATGTAGAGAAGATGATTCAGGATATTATAAATAACTCATATGAGGTAAAGCAAACATGTAATATTTATAAATCATTCTCTAAAGAAAGGCTTATTTTATTAATCTGCAAGTTCCTTAGCAGATTAATAATAAAAGCTTGGTATATAGTATCAACAAGTCCAAATGCTGAGCCCCCCCCCAAAAAAAATTCAAATTATTTTAAGGTGAGTTTCCTTCTTTTTCATTTGATTCATCTTCCATAACCTAGAACCAAAAAAATAAAGAGAATTTAAGAATTAAGAAAAAATCAGAAATTGTTATTTCCCTGTTTTTAACATTACTTGTTTACCTGAAATACTTTATAATAATGCATGTCAATAAAAATAAATCTATCTACCAACAGCCCTAAAGAACAAGGTTTGCATTGTAACCTGGTAGCCTAACAACAAAAAAGCAAACTGAATATTAGCAAATTAAATAAAAGCACTGGTCTCTATTCCTTTTCCCCAAAAGAGGCAATAGCAGCCAAGTAAGTCTCAGTCAGAGAAGACTATGATGATTAATTGGTATTTCCTAGCTATAAGACTTTTTTATTTCTCCCCCAAAGCATTTTATTTATTTAAATGTATTCTGGGATCTATACCAAACTGTTATTGTAAAAATATGTATTAGAAAAATGAATCCCTACAAAAGGGAGGGAAACAAAATATCCTGGCAACTACTTGGGCTTACTCAGATAAAAATTCATTTTAAACCTTAGAAAAATGTTAACTTTCATGTCTAACAAGTTAATAAAACTATGAATGAAACTACTTGAAGAATAAAAACCAAAACTATTACTATCCTTTCATGAGTTAATATACTACTCAAATAATAAAGAACAACTCCTTCAGTAAGGAAGAGTTATATAAACCTAAGAATTTTTTTCTCTTCACCATACATACAATTAAATGACAATTCAAATTTATAGCTGAGAGCCTCACCCTGGACAAGTAAATAAAAAAGTTTCCTTGTCAACTCACTACCATGTCAACTAATACAATTTTTTAAAAAGCATACAGAAGAAAATGGAACAAAAATAAGTTTAAAAAAATCTAGATGAAATCTGGTTCTGATCTCAGACAATCAATGGAGAAACAATTGTCTCATAGTTTCTCTTCTGTGTTGAGTAAAAATGGATTATTCACTTCAAGAAATTGATATTTTATATCCAATCTTAGCAACACCCAATCCAAAGAATTTTCCTATTTTAGGCAGAATATTCCTAATGTAACCGACAGGACTAAGTGCTGCAGAGGAACACAAAGACCTAGATATGACTACGGGTCTATCAAGTAACTTACCCATAAACATAAAGCTGAAATAGACCCACAGAAAGAAGCTTTGGACCAAAGTAGAGAGAACTTAAAAAACGAGATGGCATGTATTGTACCCAAAGGACCTATTTTAATATCACCCAGAGATGAGTGACTCTCAAAGGAGCTAAGGGGAGATGCCTTCTCTGTAAAGGCACAGAATTACCTGAAGAGTTTTATCAAATTTCTAATTTCCATACACTTTCCCTTCTTGGTAATCTCTCTCTCCATAAAGCCATGTCTCCTGTCTCAAAATCACTGTGGTGAGGATCACTGGTACTACTTAGAAGATGCTATGCTACATTCCTTAACTATCTTGAGGGCAGGAAAAAACATTGACATCAGGCTGTAGATAAAGCTCTATAATCTTACTAAATACTGTTTTACTGTAAAATATAGTATGATCTCTTGATAAGCTTCATGTCTGCACATTTAAAAATAAGTGAATAAACATAAGAACAAGAAATGGATAAATATGATATAGTAGAGCTGTTTCTCTAAATCTCATCTATAAAACATGTTTTGAATTCACTTTTCCTAATTTTTCTGTAACCAGAGCAGCAGTGTATGTATACCCTGAGTCTCAATTTTCTGTGTAGAATAGAAATGACTCACTCAATACACTGTGGTATTAGAACATTAAATGAAGTAATACTTGTAAAAATGTCTAGTACACAGAAGCTATCATTCATAATACTAAAGTTAATTCTAAATTAAGGAGTCTTTAAGTCTGGTAACAACTGCAACACTAAGATCCAGCCCTTAAGAAATGTCAGGTCATGAATTTCTTTTCTTCTCAAAATCTAAACCATCACATAATATTGGCGTACCTGTTCTACACCTTCTACTTCTGGAATATAAAACTGCAACATGTTCTGAATTCCGTTTTTCAGAGTAATGATTGAACTAGGGCAGCTGGTACAAGAACCTTGGAGTTTCAGTTGTACGATGCCATCTTCAAAGCCCTTATAGATTACATCTCCCCCGTCTTCCTGCACAGTTGGCCTGTGGTCACAGTATATTTGTGATAATATTTAATAGAAGTTTTCACCAAAGAAATTTAATAAAACTCAGCTTACATATATTTTTATTTTACTTATTTATTTTTAGATAGAGGGGGAAAAAGTGGGAGAGAAACATCAATATGAGAGAGAAGCACTGATCAGTTGCCTCTTGTATGCACCCCAACCAAGGACGGATCTGCAACCCAGGCACATGTCCTACCAGTAATGAAACCAACGACCTTTTGCTTTGCAGAAAGATGCCAAATCAACTGAGCCACACCAGTCAGGGCCAGAGCTTAGATTTTATATCAATAAAATTCACAAACTTGGAGCTACTTTTATAATAGAGAATAAATGTAGCTATTCTCAGTTGTAATTTTAACTTTGCCAACTTCACTCATACAAATATTTGCTCTACTTATTACATTTAAATCTTGTGTATAATAATCTTAAGTAATTAAGATTTCAAATTTCCTAATAATTATAGTAACTACCTAAGATAAACTTATAAAATTTATTTTGGGTAAACACAGGGAGATTGACGCATGCTAGTTATTTTTTTTCAGGTAAACTTTTCATTGAAATATAACATTAATACAGAAAAATGTATAAATCATGTATAGTCAATTAATTTTCACAAAGTGAGCATACATTTGTCCCAGACCAAGACACAGAACACTAGCACCTCAGAAGTGCTCTTTTACTGCCTTCTAATCACTCCTCCTAACCAAATGCTAACTACTTCCTAACTGTTATCAGCACTGATTGGTTTTGCCTGTTTTTTCTAAAGATTTTATTTATTTTTAGAGAGAAGGGAAGGAGAAAGAGAGGGAGAGAAACATCAATGTGTGGTTGCCTCTTACATGCCCCCTACTGGGGACCTGGCCCACAACCAGGCATGTGCCCTGACTGGGAATTGAACTGGTGACCCTTTGATTTGCAGGCTGCTGCTCAATCCATTGAGCAACCAGCCAGAGCGGTTGTGCCTTTTTTTTAACTTTAAAATTTATAAATATAAATTCCATTTAGAAATCATATAGTATTCACTCTTTTGTATCTGACTTTTTATGCAGAGATTTATCCATGTTGATGCATGTAGTACAGTTCATTCAATCTCACTGCGACATAGTATTCCATTAAGTGAATACGCCAGAATCTGTGTCTTCTATTGTTCATGGACAGCCAGTTAATACAAATTTTTGGTTTTTACAAATGGTGCAGCTTATGAATATTCTGGCAAATGTCTTTTGGTACACATATATATGCTACTGGGAATATACCTGAGTGGAATTGCTGGATCAAGAATATTCACACGCTCAGATTTAGCACATAATGCTAATATAAATGTACATTCCTATCAGGAGTATATGAAAGTTCTGTTGCTCCACACCCTCACCAACAATTGGTGCTGTCACTATTAATGATTTTAACCACTGCAGTGCATTAGCAGTGATAGTTCATTGTGGTTTTGAGTATTCATACTCAAGTCATACTCATCAGTCATACTCAAGACTGATGAGGTTGAGCACTGTTTCATGTTTAGTGGCCATTTGGTTACTGTTGTTTTTGAGTTGCTGCTCCAGTGCTTTTGGGAAGAGACTGCTCTCCAGTCTCCATGTGATTGCTTGTCTTTTTCTTAACTATAGGAGTTTCAAAATATATTGCCATGTATGAATTATAAATATCTTCTGTAAATGGCATCCTTTGTTGAAGAAAATACTATACCCTAATTTATGTCCTTTTCCATGATTTTTCGTGTGTCCTGTTAGAAAAACTATTTGCAAATGCAAAGGTCATGTAGATATTCTACTTCAGATTTCCTTTGTGTTTCTTTATTGACCATGGTCTACTTCTCATTTGCCCTTATTACAAGGGTATAGTCCTAGAGCAGGGGTGTCAAACTCATTTTCACTGGGGACCACTTCAGCCTCACTGCTGCCTTCAAAGGTCCAAATGTAATTTTAGGACTGTATAAATGTAATTAATTACCCCATAACAGTTAAGAGCCTGACGCTGCCGCAGGATAGAAATGAGGTGCCAGGCCTTGTGTTTGCCACCTGTGTCCTACAGGGAGCCCGACTAAGAGTATGGATGATTCCTGCGGACACACCCTCCCTGACTGACCCTAACCTCCAATCTTATCACCCCTAGAAGCGTAAGACTGCCATAACTCCGCTTAGCTTTCCAACTGCTTTTTGACTTCTTCGTTTGTTCCCTACCCAGCTAAAAATAAGCAAGTGCCTTGGGAAAGAACCTCCAACTGTTAGGCTTACTGTTTCTTAACTTCTCTCTAGAATCTTGGCCCTTTATGAAAAAGCTTCCTTGGTGACCCAGAATTTTTATTTTTGTCTTCCCATCTCAACAAATTTGCTAAAAGTTAAATGATTTCTCTGATTCTAGCAGATGCCACTGACCGGCTTCTCATAATCTAGCTTCACACTGAGAATCAGCAAATGCTCTGAGGGAAGCCTGAACATATTTTCTTTCTCTACAGAATCTTGGTGTTTTTTTTAATTTTTAGAGAGGGGGAAGGGAAGGAGAAAGAGTGGGAGAGAAACATCAATGTGTGGTTGCCTCTCACGTGTCCCCTATGGGGACCTGGCCTGCAACAACCCAGGCATGTGCCCTGACTGGGAATCGAACCAGTGACCCTTTGCTTCACAGGCCCGTGCTCAATCCACTGAGCTACACCAGCCAGGGCATGTTTTGATAACTACTTAATGCCTTCACAAAATTTTTCTTTTAATTGTATTTTACATTGTTTTTCTAGAATTTCTGACTAAGACCATTCATCTGCTAGAAGTAAAATGCTGAAACCTGAGGTTCTCTACTTATTTAAATTTATTCTTTATGGACAATAGCCTAAAAAACAAGTAATCCTCTCCTCACAATCTTCCCAAACACTAAATCATTTTTTAAAAGAAATTTGGCATTATAACAATATTAAACAAGTAACATGTATAAAGGACCCATGGACAAAGCAAAGGGGGGTAGGATTGAGCGTAGGAGGTAGAAATGGGTGGGGCAGGGGAGGACAGAGGAGAGGAAATGGAGACAACTGTACCTGAACAATTAAAAAAAAAGAACCTAAATAGTCAATGAGAACAATAAATTCATTTACTGACTATGTTTACATTGTTTTAAAATTTCGAGTGAATACAGACAATATATAGGCTTTAAATGAAACTGTCATGGTTACCTACTGTGGTTTACATTAACTTATACTTCTTTTAAAACTCCACTATACTCTTACAACCAAAAGGAAATAGTTATAATAAAAATTGGCTCTGTAGTATATTTGATTTCAAGTAGAAAGATAAGCACATACCGTATTCTAGTATCTAACAATTCTTTAATCATTGCCACAACTTCATCATCTTCTTCAGATCCTAGAAACAATTACAAATAAAACATTATCAACATTATAAATTTCATAGCGATCCAAATACATTTATTAAAACGGAGCAAATTTAACTTAATTTTAATGTCTTGTTAAAAAAATAAAAGCACAGAACATTTAACTTGGTATGGTAATAAACTAATTTTGGGGTAACAGAAAGATCACTCCTTAGATTCTCTGAAGGAAAATTAAGGAGCACTGATCCATTCAGTATCTGGTAACAGCGGTGAGTATACTGAAATAACTTATTCTACTAATGAGAGCAGGGTCTGAATATTTTGGTCAATAAAAAATTGAAAACTTTCCTCATTCTCAAGACTGAAAAGTAGCAGAAACAAGAAGTTCTTTGGATTTTGATAGAAACTTTAGACACAAAAAAAGCACAGATACTTTTGTAAGTTACATTTTCAATTTCTCAATTTTGTAGTTTTAAAAATGATGATCATACTGAATATAAATGTAAACCTTATATAAATTTCCAAAATGTTCCACAAATCTGAGCAAAACCTTGTGTTTCAATTTTGTTTCATTTTTGTTTTACTTTGTAAGGTTATACACTGATTTTCACCAAAGCCTTTTTTTAAAAATATATTTTATTAATTATGCCATTACAATTGTTCTATTTCCCCCCTTCATTCCCCTCCACCCTGCACACCCTTCCCCCACCATTCCTCCTCTTTAGTTTATGACCATGTGTCTCAGCTTCTTTAGATTCTATATTTCCCCTACTATTCTTGCCCTCCCCCCTATCTATTTTCTACCTACCATCTATGCTACTTATTTTCTGTACCTTCTCCCGCTCCCCTGTTGCTAACCCTCCATGTGATCTTTATTTCTATGGTTCTGCCCTTGACCTAGCTGTCCTCTTAGTTTGCTTTTGTTTTAGGTGTGGTTCTTAGTAACTGTGAGTTTGCTGTCCTTTCACTGTTCATCTTTTTTATCTTCTTTTTCTTAGGTAAGTCCCTTTAACATTTGATATAATAAGGGCTTGGTGATGATGAACTCCTTGAATTTGATCTTATCTGAGAAGCACTTTATCTGTCCTTCCATTCTAAATGAAAGCATTGCTGGATAGATCAATCTTGGATGTAGGTCTTTGGATTTCATGACTTGGAATACTTCTTTCCAGCCCCTTCTTGCCTGTAAGGTCCCTTTTGAGAAATCCACTGACAGTCTGATGAGAAGTCCTTTGTAGGTGACTGTCCCCTTATCTCTTGCTGCTTCTAGGATTCTCTCCTTCATTTGAATCTTGGCTAATGTGATGATGATGCGCCTTGGTGTGTTCCTTCTTGGGTCCAACTTCTTTGGGACTCTCTGAACTTCCTGGATTTCCTGGAAGTCTATTTCCTTTGCCAGATTGGGGAAGTTCTCCTTTATTATTTGTTCAAATAAGTTTTCCACTCGTGGGTGTTCCTCTTCCCCTTCTGGTACCCCTATAATTCGGATGTTGGAACGTTTAAAGATGTCCTGGAGGTTCCTAAGCCTCTCCTCATTTTTTTGAATTCTTGTTTCTTCATCCTTTTCTCTTTGGTCATTTTTTTTCCTCCTTCTGGTCCATTCCTTTGATTTGAGTCCCAGTTTCCTTTCCATTACTATTGGTTTCCTGTGTATTTCCATTCATTTCACTTAGTTTAGCCTTCATATGTTCCTCTAATTTGTGACTAAAATCAACCAGTTCTGTGAGCGTCCTGATCACCAGTGTTTTGAACTGTGCATCTGAAAGTTTGGCTATTCTTCATCGCTTAAATTTATGGGCTCTGGGGCTCTGAGTTGTTCTTGAGCCATGTCTTGATCTGTTTGTGCCTGTTAGGTATGAGGAGCATAGCCTTGGTTGTTCACCAGGGCGGGGCCACCCAGGTGGCTGGTTTGTGATGCTATATGTGGGGGTGGGGTCAGAGAGGGAAAATGGTGGTTCTCTCTGCCGCTTCCTGCTGCTGGGGCCTGCTCAGTCCATCTCATGTTAGCTCCATCACCGGTTTATCTGTGCGCGAATGTGTGACTGCGATCAGTCCTCAGTGGGTCCAACGCCTTGCGCCCTCAGTGGGTCCGCCCCCTTCTCCACACCTGGGATCCGCCCACGGCTGCCGGCGCACCTGGGTCGAGCACCTGGGTAGATCCGGTGGATCTTTCCTGCCCGACCCTGCTCTGCTCCTGGCTTTGCCCCTCTTACCAGTTTGGCTGAAGGGTTTGCTGTTGTCAGACTTCCGTGTAGTTCAATTTTCTGTGGTTTGGCTGCGTTTTTGTTGCTAAAACTTTGTTGTTGCAACAACAACTTTGTTGTTGCCCCTGCGAGCAGGGGCAGTGCTTCCACCTACACCTCCATCTTCTCACCAAAGCCTTTTTATGGATTTTAATTTTTTTTGAGAAATTTATTTACCTTCAGAAAAACTAAAAATATAAACAATTCAAATTATACCATAACATACATGAGCTCCATGTGCAGTTCTTCTTCCAAGTACTTTACACAAAATAACTTATTTTCATCATGTACAAAAAGTACAAACCACAGAGAAAAAAAAAGATTATGTGGCTACATTAAAAAGAAAAGCTATGCTTGCTCTGGCAACACAAACACTGGAATGATAGAGATTATCATGGCCCATGAGCAAAGATGACACACAAATTCATGAAACATTCCATATTTTAAAAAGAAAAAAACTTCTGAATGACAGACATCCTATACATAGTGAAAAGATAAAATCATGGTTTGGGAGAAGTTATCTGCTATGAAAGAATCTAACTCAGAATACTTCTTATTTTTTTCACTTGTAAATTTCTTTAGTATTGTTGTCGACACTATTGCAGATGTCCCCATTTCCTCCCCATTTGCCCCCCTTCTTGCAGCCCCTGCTTCCCCTTCCTCTGGCCATCACCACATTGTTGTCTGTGTCAATGGATTATACATATGCCTTTTTTGGCTAATACGATCACCTTCTTTCATCCAGTTCCCCCTCCCCTTTGATAGCTGTCAGACTGTTCCATGTATCCACATCTGTTTCTATTTTGTTTGTTAGAATACCTTTAATAACCTGATAAATCAATACGAAAAAGACATACAATTCTATTTTTTTATTTTATTTTTTTTTAAGATTTTATTTATTTATCTTTAGAGGGGAAGGGAAGGAGAGAGGGAGAGAAACATCAATGTATGATTGCCTCTCATGCATCCCCCACCAGGAACCGGCCTGCAACCCAGGCATGTGCCCTGACTGGGAATTGAACCTCGATACTCTGGTTCACAGGCCCACGCTCAATCCACTGAGCTACACCAACCAGGGCTCAATTCCATTTTTTTTAATGGGCAAAGATTATGAACTAGAAATACAGGGTCCAGAAGTAAGGCCTGCTTGAGTGTGGTTGACAAAGTAATAATATGGGTATAATAATTTATAGTTTTAACTTGAACATTTCACCTAAAATGCCCTATGGTATGCTTGAGTGTGATATTGTTATGTTACAGAATTACATGCTTATGATTTTATAATAAAAAGGGCGTTATTTGTGCTAAACCCTATATATTCACAAGGCAAATAATGACTAGTAAAAATGAAAACTTTCAGGCTCAGTACTTTAATACCAAGGAAATGCAATTAAAGCAAGATACCATTTTACACTTAACATACTGGTTAAAAAATGTAAAAGACACTAATTGATAATAAAGATATAACTTAAGATTTTTATACATTTCTAAATTGTATATAAATTAGAACAATTTATAAAACAGCAACCCTCCTTTTAGGAATATACTCTAAAGAAACTGCACAGATGCACAAAGAGGCTGTACAAAAATGTCCACTGCAATATTTGTAACAGAAATCAGCATGAACAATTCACTTGAACATAGAAACAAAATAACTGTGGTTTACTCATATAATGACTATTCAGCACTTAAACTAAATATAATAGAATTACATCTTTTACAAATGTATTTCAAAATATTATGCTCAGTGGAAAAAGGAAAGTTGCACAGAACATAAGTTACTTAAAGTTTAAAAACAACACCCAATGTTATATAATCTCTGCACCGACTTGTACTTGCAGTAAATGTTTAAAAGCAAACTGGAAGGAGAAAGGGGAAAGAGATTGGGATTGTAGGGATCTGGCTGTATCTTTAATATCTTATTTAAAAATGGGACTTGCAGCAGCCCTAACCGGTTTAACTGGTTCAGTTTGGCTGAGCATCATTCTGCAAAGTGAAAGGCTGCTGGTTCTATTTCTGGTCAGGGCACATGCCTGGGTTGGGGGTCCAGTCCCAGGTCACAGTCCCTCTGTTCAACAGGCAGCCAGTTGATGTTTCTCTCTAACATTAATGTTTCTCTCCCTCTCTTCCTCCCTCCCTCCCTTCCCCTCTCTCTAAAAATAAGATAATAAAATCTTTTAAAAAAAAAGGTCTAAAGCAATTATAGCCAAAAATTAACATTTGTTAAATTTGAGAGAAGGACAAATTGGTGAACTTTATACTATTTTCTGAAGATTTTTATTATTGGAAAATATAGTTTTGATTAACATTCAATTTACAGACAAGTATTCAAAAATGATGTGCAAAAGTAGTATAATATATATGAAGTTTTATTTTCCCTGGAATTGGTTCCAGAGCTATACATAATACAGCGATAAAAATCTATATTCCCATGACTTATGAAATTAAGACAAATATGAAGAAAGTAGAAGTCTTTCTTAAAAGATAAATATTAATTACCCAACATATTACCTGCTTCTCCTGAAGATGTTTCCTCAGTAACTAAGGGTAATCCAGATGCAAAGAAATCCATGATTGTTGCATAAATATCTGGTTTCAATAAATTCCAGTCTAACTCTTCATTTTCCTGTAAATATTTTAAGGAAAATGTTAAAATTTCCACCCAAGGGCACAAACAAATATAAAATAATACTTGTATCTTTTAAGAATCTTTTTCTATATATATTTTGTACTATGCAACAGTACCCATTTCTGGAGAATACATGTTACTTCCAGTCCTTAAAGGATCTGGCTTACAATGACTTTCAGAAGATACAACTGTAGAACATTTCTCATTCACTCATTCGTCAAACTTGTATTAAGTGTGCTGTATATACCATGGGCTATATAGGGGATACCAAAATGACAAAAAGATATTTTTTAATGAGGTAAAGACAGTTATGTTTAAAGAGGATGATAAAGAAACTTATTCTTTTAAATAAAACAGGATATAACTGCTTGATCAAACACACAGAATATCTGACAACCATTGAAAAACAATTCAATTTATATACATTACTTGAGAGTATTAAAGAAATCTAATGAGACAACTGTAGAACCAGAACATAGGATATGTCTTATCTGTGGCTACTATGCTACAGGACTTGTGAACTCTCAACAAGATCAGTATCCTTAAGAAAGAATCTATTAACTATTTCACCCCAAAACCTGGCCAACCAGTTAATTTTATAAAATTTTTTAAAAAGGTATAATTCATATATACTTAAATAGTACTAATATCTAAAAAAAAGACAGGATATAGTGTTTTAATTTTTTAAAGGAGAGCTCGTTAGTAGGAACAACTATTAGATGCAGTCTATGTAGACTCAGGCAAAGTGCTGGCTAGGGTCTATACTTAAATGCTATTAAAATTGAGGCAACATGCATAAGAACTATTTTTGTAATGGATTAAGAACCAATTTAGAGGTAGTATACTAAAGGGGAGATAAATGGGCATTGCTATGGATACAAGAGCAAAACTAGTGAGATGCCTTAGTGAGTAGGAATGGGAACTAGTTCAAGGTAAATTTTTAAAGAAGATTTTCTTTATTTTTATAGAGGGGAAGGAAGAGAGAAAGAGAGGGAAAGAAACATCAATCAGTTCCATGCCTCCGGCCCGCAACCCAGGCATGTGCCCTGACCAGGAATCGAACCAGCAACCTTTCAGTTTGCAGGCCAGCACTCAACCCAATGAGCCACATCAACCAGGGCTCAGGGTCACTTTTGAATAAATTACTGGAACATGGATCAAGACTGCTACCTCGTATCTTCAGTAAATAGAGGGCTCTACTAAGGAAATCTTAGTATTAAAAAGAAACATTTCCTGAAGTTGTCTGAATGAAAGAAAAAGGCAGCATAAGATGAAAATATACTTACACATTTAGAAAAAAACATAAATAATGCATAAAGAAGCCTCTGAATTATTACAAATCAAAAGGAAAACAGGCAATTGTTGAAGATATCAGGTAAATGGAATAGCCCATGATGAAGATTAACTGAAAGAAAACAAATCAAATCTGCTATTCTACCTATTAAATATCAATGTGTGCCCTCATTTAGAATATTATTTATTGGTTATGTCATTTCATTAAGAAAAAATAGTGGAGATGAAGAAATTTCAAAAGGGGTAAATAAATTATAAAAGAGAAATAAATAATGATCTGCCAAAATCAAATCAAGAAAAAAAACCCTGTAAGGTATAATCAAGTTTTTATCTGAACATATTTTTATATAGCATAGGCTACATGAAAAGAACTAAATAAAAATATCTTTAAGTAAATGCACAATTTCCTGTTCGTAAAATAAACACAGTAACTACTGCATTTTCAGACTATAAGATGCACTCCCCTGCTGCCATTTGGGAGGAAAATGGGGTTGCGTCTTATAGTCCGAATGCAGCCTACCTGGCTTGGGGGGTGGGGTGGGCAGTGACCTATGTTATTTGTTATTAAATATTCTGCCACATTTTTTGCTTCAAATTTTTTTTCCTATTTTCCTCCTCTAAAACCTAGGGGTGTCTTATGGTCCAGTGCATCTTACAGTACAAAAAATTCAGTAGTTGTAAGAATTAAACTAGATAATATATGTAAAGCACTAGTGCCGTATCAAACATGTTGGAGATATTAAATAAATGCTAGTCCTTTTCTCCCTCAAAAAATATCAAAGAAAGAAAACTTAAGAATAAAAAGCACAGGCCAGATGTCTCTAAACTAGTCAAGACTGGGAATCAGTTAATATGGATTTGCTTACCATGAGCTTATATTTGGGGGAAGGAAGGCTGAAAATTCAATTTAGGAAATTTTACATCACTGTTTCCACCTATAAAAATTTGAGTGCATAGTATATGTTAGGCATGTTCTAGGTAATCCTAACAACACGGACGATCTTTATCTTCACAGAATTTATATTCTAGTGCAGGAAAGAGAGGCAATAAAAATAAACAAAAAATATGATTAAGCTAAGTGCAATAAAGAAAATGAACAGGGTAATAAGCTCTTGAGGGAAGAGCTTTCACAAATATGGTCAAGAAATAGGTACAAAGGAATACTGGACTAGATGTTATATGTTCCTAACCCATATGTCCGCTTTCATGGTACATCGAAATAATCCTTTCAAATTGCTTCTGAGGAGTTGAATGTTTTTATTCTGATGCAAAATTGGACAAATGATTACGTTCAGTGCATACAAACTAATTAAAAGATTTAAAAGGAGACTTCCGCCAAGATGGAGGCGTAGGTGGCAGCACTGCCCCTGCTCGCAGGGGCAACAACAAAGTTGTTGTTGCAACAACAAAGTTTTAGCAACAAAAACGCAGCCAAACCACAGAAAATTGAACTACACGGAAGTCTGACAACAGCAAACCCTTCAGCCAAACTGGTAAGAGGGGCAAAGCCAGGAGCAGAGCAGGGTCGGGCAGGAAAGATCCACCGGATCTACCCAGGTGCTCGACCCAGGTGCGCCGGCAGCCGTGGGCGGATCCCAGGTGTGGAGAAGGGGGCGGACCCACTGAGGGCGCAAGGCGTTGGACCCACTGAGGACTGATCGCAGTCACACATTCGCGCACAGATAAACCGGTGATGGAGCTAACATGAGATGGACTGAGCAGGCCCCAGCAGCAGGAAGCGGCAGAGAGAACCACCATTTTCCCTCTCTGACCCCACCCCCACATATAGCATCACAAACCAGCCACCTGGGTGGCCCCGCCCTGGTGAACAACCAAGGCTATGCTCCTCATACCTAACAGGCACAAACAGATCAAGACATGGCTCAAGAACAACTCAGAGCCCCAGAGCCCATAAATTTAAGCGATGAAGAATAGCCAAACTTTCAGATGCACAGTTCAAAACACTGGTGATCAGGACGCTCACAGAACTGGTTGATTTTAGTCACAAATTAGAGGAACATATGAAGGCTAAACTAAGTGAAATGAATGGAAATACACAGGAAACCAATAGTAATGGAAAGGAAACTGGGACTCAAATCAAAGGAATGGACCAGAAGGAGGAAAAAAATGACCAAAGAGAAAAGGATGAAGAAACAAGAATTCAAAAAAATGAGGAGAGGCTTAGGAACCTCCAGGACATCTTTAAACGTTCCAACATCCGAATTATAGGGGTACCAGAAGGGGAAGAGGAACACCCACGAGTGGAAAACTTATTTGAACAAATAATAAAGGAGAACTTCCCCAATCTGGCAAAGGAAATAGACTTCCAGGAAATCCAGGAAGTTCAGAGAGTCCCAAAGAAGTTGGACCCAAGAAGGAACACACCAAGGCGCATCATCATCACATTAGCCAAGATTCAAATGAAGGAGAGAATCCTAGAAGCAGCAAGAGATAAGGGGACAGTCACCTACAAAGGACTTCTCATCAGACTGTCAGTGGATTTCTCAAAAGGGACCTTACAGGCAAGAAGGGGCTGGAAAGAAGTATTCCAAGTCATGAAATCCAAAGACCTACATCCAAGATTGATCTATCCAGCAATGCTTTCATTTAGAATGGAAGGACAGATAAAGTGCTTCTCAGATAAGATCAAATTCAAGGAGTTCATCATCACCAAGCCCTTATTATATCAAATGTTAAAGGGACTTACCTAAGAAAAAGAAGATAAAAAAGATGAACAGTGAAAGGACAGCAAACTCACAGTTACTAAGAACCACACCTAAAACAAAAGCAAACTAAGAGGACAGCTAGGTCAAGGGCAGAACCATAGAAATAAAGATCACATGGAGGGTTAGCAACAGGGGAGCGGGAGAAGGTACAGAAAATAAGTAGCATAGATGGTAGGTAGAAAATAGATAGGGGGGAGGGCAAGAATAGTAGGGGAAATATAGAATCTAAAGAAGCTGAGACACACTGTCATAAACTAAAGGGGAGGAATGGTGGGGGAAGGGTGTACAGGGTGGAGGGGAATGAAGGGGGGAAATAGAACAATTGTAATGGCATAATTAATAAAATATATTTAAAAAAAGATTTAAACGGACACAGCTCTGGCTGGTGTAGCTCAGTGGAATGAGTGCAGGCTGTGAACCAAAGGATCGCTGGTTCAATTACCCATCAGGGCAGATGCCTGGGTTGCAAGCCAGGTGTCCAGCAGGGGGCACACAAGAGGCAGCCATTCACTGCTATTTCTCTTCTCTTTCTCCTTCCCTTCCCCTCTCTCTAAAAATAAATAAAACCTTTTTAAAAAATAAATAAAATAAAAGGACATATAGTTCAAATTTAAATAGCTTATTTCTCATTAATCTAGTATACTTAAAAGTTAAACAGCCTTTTCTAGCAAATACCACCTTAGCTGCTGCAGTGGGTAGCACATTTATGTTGGTTTCTTGACGTTTAGAGGTTGACCAAGTGCTGAAGAACTTACACAATCCACTGCTCTTATGTGTGAAGCTCTGAAGTGTTATTGCAGAACAGAAGAATGAGTCAGATGCCATGAGGTGAGTGCCCACTTTGAAAGGAGAAATATATATTCAATCATTCTGTTGGTCAAATATATATATCGTGTGACTATTTATTTGTTTCTCTTTTTACTCTATCGGTTACATTAAAAATTAGTGAAAATAGTACTTGGAAGCCTAAATTCTAGTCTTGACCCTGCTATAGACCACTTATATAATCTTGGACACTGCATTTAACCCTTAGAAGCTCAAGTTTTTTTCTTTTGAAAAATGAGATACCTGGAAATTCTAGTAAGTAATTACTTAAGACATGTTAGAAGTAAATTTAATTTGAGATATTTTAATAACCATATGTATAAAACACATTAACAATGGAAATTCTGGAGAGGGGCTCCAACTCAGAAAATACTAAAAGTGCTTATTTTATGGCATGCTATATTTTTACCTTTGTGACAGTGATAAAATCTGGCCCAAAGAAGACACTTTTCACTCCTTCGATCCTAAATAACTGCCTGTGAAAAAATTAAACAGATAAGTATAATTATAAAAAGTTTATACATAAACAAAACACAGAAAAATAAAAGAACTTCCGGGTACTCTTCACCACCTTCAACCCATGGCCAATCTGGTTCTATCCTCTTCCCTGCCATCGCGCAATCCCACAATAAGAATACAGGGCATTTTTATTACTACAAAAGATGCCTCATTTCCCTTTGCATTCAGTCCTCTTGCTTTACCCCCATGCTCTGATAAGTTTTGTTTATGGCAGTGACTTATTTTGTTTAAAATTTTCTTCCAGCTTTGTTGAGATATAATTGACATGAAACATTATGTAAGTTGAAGTATACAATGTGATGATCTGGTACACATATACAGTGAAATGATTACCACAATAAGGTTAGTTAACATAATTTTATGGTTTCTAATTTACCATCTGACATATATTTAAATTATTTCCACTGGGCAATTTTTAAAAAAAGGAAATCATTCCATATCTGATAACTATTATTATTTATAGTTGAAATGTGGGTTTATTGTACAAATTACTTCACATTGAAACATCTAGAAATTCAGCTATTCTTAAGAATTAAATGAGTAAGTTTTCATTGTTTATTAAAAGCAGTTTTAGCCCTGGCTGGCGTAGCTCAGTGGATTGAGCTCAGGCCTGGGAACCAAAGGATCATGGTTTGATTCCCAGTCAGGGCACATGCCTGGGTTGCAGGCCAATTCCCAGCAGGGGATACATGAGAAGCAACCATACATTGATGTTTCTCTCCCTCTCTCCTTCCCTTCCCCTCTAAAGATAAATAGATAAAAATATTTTTAAAAAGCAGTTTTAAAGATTTAGAATGGAAATTTACCATATTATCATTTTGATGGGTTATTTTTCTTAAGTAAAAATATAAATTTTCAAGTGGTCATGATACAGCTCCCTCAAATACATCACTTTTCAGGAGAGGGTTTCCTAATATCAACTCTTAGTTTTCTTTATCTCATAACTGAAAAAAAAGTATTCTCTGAAAAAAATGCAGTGCACATAAAAATGCAATGGGTCAATAAAGCTGCCTTAACCCCAAAGTCAGTTATTTACGTTTCTTGGTAAAAGAAAGTGAAAAGCAGTAATATACCTTGCCAGAGGAGAGCGAAATGCTGCAGCTGGTGTAGGGAAATCCATGGTCCTTGTCTCAAGAACTGGTTTTCCTGGAATAAACTTTAAACTGTTGGGATTTGGGGTATCTTGTGTTTGAATAAACATGTGTCTCACTAAAAGAAAAAAGAGAAAAATGTTATTCTAGAAAGTAGTAGTAGTTAACAGTTTATGAACTATGAGGTACTCATTATCAGAGAACGAAAAGAAGAAAAATTAGTATATTAGAAAATAAGACTGTATTGCCCAAACTGACAAAACAAGAATTTTTAAAGACAAAAAGGCAGTTTATCAATATATTTATAATTGCATTCAATTTTACATTAATTTTGATTATTTAGTTTGTTACTCAACGGGTTCCAGTAACATCCTACATTTAAGTAGGAATTATATTCTACTTCAGGAATCATGTATGTATTCTATGCGATGACTTATGATTATGATACCAATGGCTACTATAAATGGTCATCACTATGATAGTGATACAGTAAAACCTTATATTCTCTTCTTTCCAAAGTGCTACCATCCTTTTAAAGACAAATTTTTTAAATTGTATTTAGTTATTTTTCAAGTACAGTTTTTTGTCTATTTCTCCCATCCCAGCCCCCCCCCACCCCATGCTCCCCACCTCCCTCCAATTTCCACCCCCCTTAGTTCTCATCTCTGTGTCCTTCCTATTTGTTCCTCCAAATCCCTCCCCTTTTTTCCCCCTAAATTCCCTTCCCTCTCCCCTCTGGTCACTGTCCCCCTGTTCTCTATTTCAGTGTCTTTGTTTTTATTCTGCTTGCTTGTTTGTTTTGTTGTTTAGCTTCCTGTTAAAGGTAAAGACAAACAAATTTTTTAAAGGTATAAATTTCTAATAATAACTAATATTTATTGTCAGCCTACTATTTACATGCCAGATTCAGGGTCAAATGCTTCAAATGTATTGAAGCCTTTAACAACCTTATGAAGATACTATTATTCACTTTACAAATGAAACTGAGGCTTAGAGATAAATAACTTGTTAAATTATATAGAGTTAAGGAACTGCTCAATGGTATAGAGTTAATGACATTATAAATTATTGTGTAAGTGGAAATCTATGTGACTCACTTTCTGGAATAAAAATTATCTTTACGGTTCTTTTCTCCCTTTCTTTTAGGCCCATGATTATATTGAGAATGAATTCATTAAAGCAATAAAGAAAGAACATAATCTTTCATTTCCTACCTGAGTTAAAATGGTAACAGCTTATAAGACAAATGGATAGACAGGGCTAGGGTTTTAAAACTATTAAACAGACCTTTATTATTTATTATGAAAATAAACCTTTTGACCAAAAAAAGAATACCAATTCTCATCATAGAGCAATATATGGAAATAGGTTAATTCAAGGAGTTATTAACATGTGCTAAGCATGGTGCTAAGCACTCCACATGAATTACATTATTTAATCCTTACATCCCGCCAGGGAAGTACTGTTTCTACCCTGTTTTACAAATGTGGAAACTAAAGCCCAGTGTCACTCAATTCAAGTACTAAAGCCACCAATTTTCCATCACTGACTTGCTTAGCCACTATGCATACTGACACTCCATACTTACTAATGCCAAGCATAACAGGAAAATATATTTCAAATCAGTCTTCTTATCTTGTCATAATCCTTATACCACACAACTTAGAAAAGATGGTAAAGCAACAGTTTTATTTTAAATTAGAGATTAAATCTGGCAAAACATATGGTTGTCATGGAAGTGCTTTTTTTAACCTTTACAAGAAAACATTCTAAGTTGACAGCTGAGAATTGTTTTTGCACCTCGCCGTGCAGTTCCAGCTAACTGATGTTGACTCACTTTCTTGGTGAAGTAGAAATTGAAACTAAAATCCCATATATTTTGCTTACTGAAGCCATTGTCCTATAAGATACCAGTTGGTGATTTGGTGACCAGGCAAATCCTAAAAGAGAAAAATTTTAAATGATAACCTCAATGTCCAAGTGCTTGATCTAAAATGTTATACTTCTAACCAATAAATGCCTCTGAAAAACTGTATTACAAGGGAACAGTTTTTCAGATGGTGCATTAAAGAAATTAAATAAAGACAACAAGGTTCTTTTAACCCTGGTTCTGATTTATCATTTCTCACCACGTTTCTTAACAATTTATTGCTAACAAAAGCTTCGCACATGTTATGCACTCTACCAGTATTTGAAAAATTAAATCTGGATGTATTCTACTCAATCCATTTAGGTAAAGCTATTCATACAGGAAGAAAAGTTTTAGAAATAATTTAAGGTAAGAACTGTAAGTGTAAAAAATTTTTTTAACAGAGCAGTCTACATATACTACCTGAAGTAGAAAGTAATATATGACATTACTATATAAATTTTCTTTTGACAATGAACAAAGCTATTTCAAAAAAGTAATTTGACTTGGTATTAACAAAATTATTCCAATTATGGTCTCAATTTGGTTTAATTAGGTATTTCAAAAATGAATCCTAGGTCCATCATCCAGAAAGATGCCCCCAGAATTGTCATGATGGTGTCACCAGGACAGAAAGGCTGATGCAAAATAAGTTTTCCTATTGTGCTTGGTACTTACAGGTAGATAGATAGGCAAAAGTTCCTTCAAAACTACAGGTTAATGGTGCTGAAAGTCAGTATCAAAGTCTAAAATCAGCAGCTCTCCCATTGGAAAAGTCTATTTCTTCATTGCTTAGATTTATCGGCTCTGGGGCTCTAAGTTCTTCTTGAGCCATGTTTTGATCTCTTCGTGCCTGTTAGGTATGAGGAGCGGAGCCTTACTTAGTTGTTCACCAGACTCATAGAACTGGTTGATTTTAGTCACAAATTAGAGGAACATATGAAGGCTAAACTAATTGAAATTAAGGGAAATGCACAGGAAACCAATAGTAATGGAAAGGAAGCTGGGACTCAAATCAAAGGAGTGGACCAGAAAGAGGAAAAAAATGACCAAAGAGAAAAGGATGAAGAAACAAGAATTCAAAAAAATGAGGAGAGGCTTAGGAACCTCCAGGAAATCTTTAAACGTTCCAACATCGGAATTATAGGGGTACCAGAAGGGGAAGAGGAACAGCCACGAGTGGAAAACTTATTTGAACAAATAATAAAGGAGAACTTCCCCAATCTGGCAAAGGAAATAGACTTCCAGGAAATCCAGGAAGCTCAGAGAGTCCCAAAGAAGTTGGACCCAAGAAGGAACACACCAAGGCATATCATCATCACAATAGCCAAGATTCAAATGAAGGAGAGAATCCTAGAAGCAGCAAGAGATAAGGGGAAAGTCACCTACAAAGGAGTTCCCATCAGACTGTCAGCGGATTTCTCAAAAGAGACCTTACAGGCAAGAAGGGGCTGGAAAGAAGTATTCCAAGTCATGAAATTCAAAGACCTACAACCAAGATTGATCTATCCAGCAATGCTTTCATTTAGAATGGAAGGACAGGTAAAGTGCTTCTCAAATAAGATCAAATTCAAGGAGTTCATCATCACCAAGCCCTTATTATATGACATGTTAAAGGAACTTATATAAGAAAAAGAAGATAAAAAAGATGAACAGTGAAAGGACAGCAAACTCACAGTTATTAACAACCACACCTAAAACAAAAGCAAACTAAGAGGACAGCTAGATCAGGAGCAGAACCATAGAAATGAAGATCACATGGAGGGTTAGCAACAGGGGAGTGGGAGGAGGAGAAGGGGGGAGAAGGTACAGAAAATAAGTAGCATAGATGGTAGGTAGAAAATAGGGGGGAGGGCAAGAATAGTATGGGAAATATAGAATCTAAAGAACTTGAGACACGTGGTCATAAACTAAAGGGGGGAATAGTGGGGGAGGGGATGTGCAGGGTGGAGGGGAATGAAGGGGGGAATATAACAACTGTAATGGCATAATCAATAAAATATATTTAAAAAAAAGAAGAAAAGCCTAGATGACCACATAACTCAGTCCCAAAGTAATTTAAAGTCCAATTTAAAAAGCTTAGCATGCTCAGTTACTCAATATTTATATTTATTCTGTGATTGAAGAAAACAGGCAAGACACTCCTGTTCTTGCCCCAATACACAGTGGAGATAAGGTATCTCTACCCTAATCCAAACCATGCCAATATCCCAAGTCAACCACGTTCCAGAGCCTGGCCACAGGAGGTGTTCAAAGTGCAGATGGGCCAAGAGCTAAATCCAAACTCTTACGGCTCTGTGAGCACATACAGATAGGTATATATACACAGACATACACACCCTCCTCCCAAGGTTCCCTAGCCACTCTACAGTGGTCCTATTTCAATAATTTTCAATCCCATCTTAAAACCTATTTCCAATACTAAAGAAAATAAAAGCATGCAACATCAACCAGATTATTTAAAAAAAAAAACAGTGATTCTGACAAAAAATTACAAAACATTATGTTTTATGGTCTGGATAAAAGCTAGAAATTTACTGATTGTTGAGGTAGTCTTATCACAATGAAGAGGCCAATAGCTTAAAATACATGATTCTTTGAAACACAAACCCATCTTTTTATCATATTCTTTTCACCATATTTTCATTTCAGAAATCATTTATTGAGCAACTCGTATTTCAGAGGATGTGTTACACAAGATACTGAAATGTCCAACAAAACTGTTGGACTTTTTGCTCAGGATTCTTGCAATTTAATACTAATAATATGTATAAGCACATGATTACAGCAAAGTGTGATACTGTGATAGGAAAAAATGCTACATTCTTTTATAGGCATCAGAGTAGAAAATTTATAAATTCTCATCCTTTAAGACCCACAAAATTTTATTCAGGCACAGTTTCATTAGCTTCTGAAAAGCAATTTGCTCTAAACGACGTGAAATTTTACCTGTGTTACATAAGGTTGGGGGTAGTGGGAAAAGTGCTCTTTGTGCAAACTGATGCAGAGGCTGTTTCTTCATGATGTATGGAGTCATCATACAACAGAATCTACATTTAAAAACAAAAATAACATTTTAAGAATCTTTTAAGCTCAGTTTCTAATTCTCATATATTAAAAAAGCTATAATGAAAATAATAGAAAAGCTAAACTTTTATTTTCTATACACATTATTTTCACTTTCTTAGACAAGGAATAGCTACAAACAATTTAAAAACAGAGTTCAAGGGGCAAGTTATAGCCCTGATGACTGAGTACACAGGATAGTGCAATAGCTGGTGCAAGAAGAAATGCATCTACACTAGTGATTCATAACCTGGAGTCCCAGACTCAGTTATGCATGAAGGAGGCAAAGAACTACAAATTGTTTTTCCCTTCTTTTTAAATTTTTAAAAACTAGGCAATAGACTCACACTATTCCAAATTTAAATGGAAAGAAGAAAATATAATGAAAAGTCCCCCTCCCTTTTCTGTTTCTAACACATTTCCCTGAAAAGAGATAACCCATACTATATGGTCTGAGAGGTGTTTCAATACTACAAAAAGTCTACTAGAAAGTGTACTATTCTCCTCCAAACTGCTAAAGAAGCCAAGAATCTATATATGCTTTTTGACTGGAAGTATATTAGTATTGTAACTTTGGTTATTCCATTGATAGAAGAAATGGCTTTTCCCTTTCACAAATTCAAAACACAGAGAAAAAGGAAAAACAAGTATTACTGGAAAGGAAATAAGAGTTGAGTAGTGAAATTTTTAGAAATCTAATGCAAGTTCTTTTGGAATCTAGTTTACTTTAAAATATTACATTTTTCACTTCACAAGAATCAATGAGGAATTTTAAGAATCTATATCACCCCTTTTTAAACACCTGATCATTTTCACCTGCAAATTCATTAAGGAACTGTCTATGGGACATTAAGGGACATTTCTATGTCCCTGGAGCAGCTAGCACGACGGCTTCAGTTTTTCACCCCTGAAATAAAGTTAATATTCACAGCCACCTCATAAAGACTGGGGTAAAGATGGATCCAAATAATCCAAGTAGACTCTGAGCACATAGCTCAGTATGAGCTCAGTGAATGCGTAAATAGGTGGAACAACAAAATGGATGTTTCTCTTCCCTCTTCTCTAAAATCAAAAAAAAAATTTTAATGAAATGTATTTAAAAATAAGTAGTCCATATAAAGTGCTTAAAACAGTGCTGCTAGGCCATGTAGTTGGTGTTCAATAAATATTACTTACCGCTATTATGACAGACATGACTCAAACATGAGAGATAGGTGACTAACAAATCCTTCTACAAACTTAATTTTTTAAAGAAATGCATTTAAATTTCAAGAGCACCATTAACACTAAAACTCCTTACAACGAGATTAAATCCCGTTGGGTCCTTTTCTCCTTTTGTTCTAGAAGTGAAATTGGGATACAACACCTACTGATATCCTCAGTGCTCTTCCCGTAACCAAAGTCGGCAGATACCATTGGCAGGGCACATGGAAGGGGAAAAAAAAGGCAAGGGATCGCAGTGGCTTTAAGTGGTGGGGAGGAAATCTAGGTGTCTGGATTCTCATCCCAGTTCCCTCACCTAGATGCTGTGTGCCCTTAGACAAGTCACATACCCTTTCTGGGCCTCACTGAGGAAACGAAGAAATGTGGTGAGATGTTCTCTTCCACCTTACCACATTCTGATTTTCTTTTTAAACGGCAGAAGAGGAAATGTGAAGAGCTAGAGGGGCTGCACTATTTCGAGTTCTTAGCGTTGGGTTTCTACAGCCAGTCTCTGCTAACCTCCCCACCGCAAGGACTCAGGCGCAGGGTCTCAGAGCCCCGGGGTCACGCAGGACCGCGTCCGCCCGAACAGAAGCAGAGGAGCTGCCTCAGCTAGAGGCCCACCTCCAGGGTTCAACCCCCGAGTGCAGCGACGAGGACGAAGCCAAAGGCTCGGTCAGCGGCACTTTTCCCCACCCCATCTGAGGGAGTAGGCAGGGCGATTACTGCTCCACTGCCTAAGTTCAGCAGCATCGCTATACCGAGCTCAGGATTTGTCACCTACCGCCTGCGCAACCCCGCAGCACCAACCACAGCGCCAACCATTGCGCCAAAGCCCAGCCGGGGGGCCGCCATCTTAGCCCAAGTGCGCCGGCGTTGGACTGGCCCTCCCCTTCGGGAGCTGCGTAAGCCCCGCGCAGGCGCAACCCTGCGGGTGCTGGACTAGCATCGTAGAGGGCGCGCTCTATGGGTAGTAGGTAGCAGTGCTACCAAAGAGGGCCTGGTTTGCGCCCAGCTGTTTGCAATCATTGCCTATCTACTATGTAAACCCATACAAGGAGGGAAACAAAGAAATACCTCAATAAGGCACGAAGGACTACACACCTGTGTGGAGCTTCCACATTTACATGCTGAGTGCAGCTCCTCCACCCACTGGTCTTGCGGTTAGAATGGTGTTCCCTACCCCGAAACCTGCCTCATGGCCATTTGTAAGATCGCACTATCCTCCATTCCCATGGACATTTCCATTTGGTCATTTACATTAAATGACAAACAAAGCTGGTTAGTAAGAGCACAAGTAGTATGATCTCATTTATGTAAAATTGTGTGTGTGCATGAATGCATGTGCGTGTGTCTATGTGCCTAGAGTTGTATAGAGGCAGATTGCCAGCCTGTCTCTCTTTGCCCTCCTCTGGATGTTTTCAGTACCTTAAATACACCAAATTGTTTTGCATTGTTGCTCCCCTTTCAGGAAACAGTGCAGAAAGCTACTGTCAACTTTAGCCAAGGAATAGGACCCTGTACCCTGATCCCAAGCCCCTTCCTCCTGCCCCAATCTGCTGGAGATAGGTGTAGAAGGAGGAGGAGGCAGGTCCCTGACCCCAACCTAGGAGAAGGACAGAAGCTCTAAAGCATGTGTTAAATGGAAGTTATAAAGACTTGGCTAGATTTATTTTTTTTTTTTTTATAATGGTTGTCTCTTGCACACACCAGGGACCTGGCCCAAAACCCAGGCATGTGCCCTGCCCAGGAATTGATCCAGCGACCCTTCGGCTTGCAGGCCAGTGATCAATCCACCTAGCCGCACCAGCCAGGGCTAGATTTTTTTTTAATACTTTAGAGTAAGATGGAAAATAAGTTAGTTTTTAAAGCTGAAAGTGACCAGCAAGTGATGGGATCTGCAGGAATTTCATCAGGGAATGAGGCAGAAAGATCAAAAAGAGCACATTTAAGCCCTTTCCTAATTGTCTCTTACTAAACTCAATATATTCAAAATACTCGTTACATGTATTTTAACCATCCTCTTGATTAGCTTCTCCTAACACACCCTTTCCCTCCTCATTCTTAGATTTTACTTTGCAGAAAAAAAGATAGAGGCCTTGATGGTAGCAGTGGCGGCAATAGACTTTCTGACCTGCCCAAGCCTTGCCTGAACTCACACATTTCTCTTTGCTGTGGCATCCAGAGTATACCACTGCAGGAGTTTTTTAAAATTTCCCTCTCTATCTAAAAAGTAGAGCCTTCCCAAAGAATTCAACTGTCATAAATCCCCTGATTGGGAGTTTAGCATCAGAAAACATTGACTCATCATCGGAGAGGGGAGTTTGGCTCAGAGATAAAAAGTCACCTAAACAGACATTCTCACAAAATCATTACATCTATGTTCTCCCATGAACCTCTTTATCTTTTCCTAAAAGTCATTTATTTTCCCATAGTTGTCCTCTCTCCTCCCACCTCCCCTCCCCGACACTGCTTTAATCTTACCTCCTACCTCCCACAGCCAGACACATCTGCTTTACCCAAGTACCTTTCCTATTGTGAATCCATCTCCAGCTTCCCCCTCCTGCCATTCCTTAGAGACTTTCTCCAGTTGATTATTTTTTCAGTAAACTTTTTTGTTCTAGAATTCTATTTGATTTACAGAAAAATTGCAAATGTAGTAGTACAGACTGTTTCTGAATATCCTTACCCAGTTTCCTCTGGCGATAGCATTTTACATTACCATCATATATTTGCCACACTGAGGAACCAACATTAAGTAACCAGACTCCATAGTTTATTGGCATTTCACTACTTTTCCACTAGTGTTCTTTTTTTGCTCCTGGATCTTATGTGGGACATATTACATTCACTTGCCATGTCTCCTAGTGTCTTCTTCTTCTTTTTACATTACATTTTGTTGATTATACTATTGCAGTTGTCCCAATTTTTCCCCCCTTACCCCCCTCCACCCAGCAGCCCCCACTCCCTCAGGCAATCCCCCCCACACTGTTCACGTCCATAGGTTATACGTATAAGTTCTTTGGCTACTCCATTTCCTATACTGTGCTTTATATCCCCAATTTGTACTTCTTAATCCCCTCACTTCTTCACCCATTCCCCCATATCCCCTCCCATCTGGCAACCATTAAAATGCTCTTTGTATCTCTGTTCTGCCTTTGTTTTTCTTGTTTGCTTAGTTTGTTTTTTAGATTCAGTTGTTAATAGATATGTATTTTTTTGCCATTTTATTGTTCATAGTTGTGATCTTCTTTTTCTTAAATACGTTCCTTTAACAGCTCATATAATAATGGTTTGGTGATGATGAACTCCTTTAGTTTTTTCTTGTCTGGGGCAACTTTATCTGTCCTCCAATTCTAAATGATAGCTTGTCTGGATAGAGCAATCTTGGCTGTAGGTCCCTGCTTTTTGTGACTTTGAATATTTCTTGCCAATCCCTTCTAGCCTGCAAAGTTTCTTTTGAGAAATCAACTGACAGCCTTATGGGAATTCCCCTGTCAATAAATAACTGCTTTTTCTTTTGCTACTTTAAAATTCTCTTTGTATTTTTAACCCTTGGCCTTTTAATTATGATGTGTCTTGGAGTGGGCCTCTTTACATCCATTTCATTTGGGACTCTGTGCTTTCCAGACTTGCATGTCTATTTTTTCACCAAATTAGAGTTTTCTTTCATTATTTTTTCAAATAGATTTCAAATTTCTTTCTCTCTTCTCCTTCTGGCACACCTTTGATGCAAATGTTGGAACGCTTGAAGTTGTCCCAGGGGCTTCTTACACTCATTTTTTTAAATTTCTTTGTTTTTCTTCTTGTTATTCTGATTGGTTGTTTTTTCTGCTTCCTTATGTTCCAAATCATTGATCTGATTCTTGGTTTCATCCACTCTGCTGTTGTTTCTCTGTAAATAGTTCTTTATTTCAATAAGTGTATTATTCATTTCTGAATGGATCTTTTTTTATGCTGTTGAGTTCCTCACTAAGTTCCTTGAGCATCCTCATAGCCAGAGTTTTGAACTCTGCATCTGAAAATTGCTTATCTCCATTTTGTTTAGTTCTTTTTGGGGGAGTTTCAGTCTGTTCATTCATTTGGGCCACGTTTCTTTGTCTCATCATTTGGGCAGTCTCCTTGTATTTGTTTTTATGTATTAGGTAGAACTGCTATGACTCTGTGTCTTGGTAACATGGCCTAATGCAGAAGGAGTACTATAGTGTCTAATGGCACAGCCTCCCCAATCACCCAAGCTGTGTACTTGAAATGAGCCCTTCATGTGGGCTGAGTACACCTTCCTCTTGTAGTTGAGCCTTGATTGCTGTCAGCGGGTCAATGGGAGGGATTTACCCAGGCCAGTCAGTGCAAAGACTGGCTGTGACCACTGACCATCAACATCCACTCTCCATGGAGGATCAGCTGTGTAGGGGCAGGGTTGTGGTGCTCTGACATAGTCTGTAGCTCTCCATGGAGCCCTCAGGATCTGGGGTTTCCTGGCAGTTCAGGCCAAGGTCAGCCCCCATCTGTGTTTTGCCTGGGGTCACCCTACGTGATCTATAAAGCAATCTGCAGATGGCTGCTACTTGGGTTGGGCTTGGAGGTTCCCAGGTGAAGCCAAGCTGTGAACCTAGATTGGCTGTTGCTAGTGCTGAGCTTGGGGCCACTTAGCAAGAGGTTTGGTGGCTGGGGGCTCACTGAGGCTGGCTGTTGCTTGTTTGAGAGGGTTTAGGGAATTGTGAAGCATGAGCCAAGACCAGTCATTCATATGGAAAAGCCATTGTTAACAGCTTGGGTGGGCAGGTAAGTTGGGTGGGACAGAGCCTCACGGGATCTCTTAGGGTGGGACCAACAGTGCTGGCTAGATTGTTGGAGTCTCTGATATGGCTGGCACGTCCCTGCCAGCTCTGTGGCTCTGTGGCTCTGTGGAGGAAAGTTCAGAAAAGGGACAATGGCTTCTGATTACCTTGATGCCAGACACTTCAGTTTCTCCCTGTGTGCCACTGGTGCCTTTCAAGTTGCTACCCAAGTGCTGGAGCCCAGAGGGAGTGAGTCTGAGTAGGGGAGTCCATGTGTGGGTTCTTTAAGAGAAACTCCAGAAGTTTCATCCATCAACTCAATCCTCACTGGGTTTTGCAGCCAGAAGTTATGGGGACTTATCTTCTTGGCACTGGAACACTGGGTTGGGGGGCCTGGTGTGGGGCTGGCACTCCTTACTCCCGAGATATGCCTCTCAAAATTTTTTCCCATTACACATGGATGTGGAACCAGCCCATTGCATATCTCTGCCTCTCCTACCAGTCTGCATGCAGTTTCTTTAATTCCACAGTTGTTGGACTTCCATTCAACTCGATTTCTGACTGTTCTAAGTGATGGGTGTTTTATAGTTTAGTTGTAATTTTGATATGGTATGCAGGGGGGCAAGCTGTGTTTACCTGTGCCTCCATCTTGCAAAAAAGTCCCTTCCCTTTCTCTCTCCTAGTGTCCTTTGGGCTGTGACAGTTTCTCAGACTTCCTTGGTTTTGATGACTTTGATGGTTTTGAGGAGTGCTGGTCAGGTACTTGGTAGACTGTCACTCAGTGGGGATTTGGTTTGATTATTTACTTGGTTAGACTGGAGTTATGGGTTTTTGGGAGGAAGACCACAGAGGTGTGGACAAAAAAGGGGGTTCTATGGAAAGTAACCTCACAGGGTGATCTGATCATAAATTACTACTTTTTTTTTTGAATCCTCACCTGAGGATCTTTTTCATTGCTTTTAGAGAAAGAGGAAGAGAGAGAGAGAGAGAAGCATCAATTGGTTGCCTCCTGCATGTGCCTGAAACATAGTTATGCACCCTGATTGGGTATTAAACCGATAACCTTTTGGTTAAAGGGCAATGCCC